ATCCCAAGTAATAATCACATTTACTTCTAGTGCAGACTGGTTTTTTTTTTCTTAGCAGGAAAGCAGTTTAAATTAGAGCTCTGGTTCTCTCAGATCTTTTATGAATTTCCCTGGAAACTCTTAGCCACATGTGCTTAGTTCTGGAACACTTGCTATCAAGTGGAAGAAGAAGGTAGAGATGTTTTCCAGCAGTTTATATGTGAAATAAATTGCACTCCCTCCCTTCATCCATACTTGAAGAGCAAAGAGGACATTTAGAGCAGTAATTTAAAGTAAAAATGCTTCTATAGACAGACTACAAAGAACATGTAAAGTTAGGAGAAGTCTAGTAACAATAGAAAGTTCAGGCAAATTGATGCCTGAATTATCCACGTGTTTAATATTTTGCAGTGATAAGCTTGTTTGAGGTCTATGCAAGTTTTTCTTTTTACCTTAAAAAGGTGCATCACTGGTACCCTGACCATCTCAGTGATGAACTAAAAATGTAATTCCATATTGATGCAAAAATGCCTTGCAAACTCCAATTGCTATAACAATGTAAGGTAAAAGGCAAACAGAAGAAAGGTATCTGGATTATTGAATCAAGCAGAAAATTTTACTAGAATTTTCTGATAATCTTTATAGGCAGAGAAAAGTTAATGAAAATATACAGCATATTTAACAGATGGTAGAGAATATAAAAGCTAAGAAAAAGTGGAATTCTTGGGAGATATAAAAGCAATGTTTTTTTGGAAGCCTATTGTCAAAAAGTTGAGTGGAACCAGTCACATTTAATTTTGAAAAACATGTCTATGTAAGGTACCTGAGTAAAGGATTCCTTAGGCAGCTGAAGTAAGTTAGGAATTCAATCTGTACGGTCCAAGTACCAGATCAGGTTCAGCAAACTCAAGTTTGTCCTTTCCAGTTTCTACGGATGGAGTACAAACCACTCTTCCCAAATAGTGTGTGGATGAGAGGGTAATGAGTAGACAATGCCTACTCTTCTAAATCATTCCAATCTTGCCATCCATCTGTAAGTAATCCCTCTTCCTATTCTAAGCCCAATTTTTTCCTAAATTTGAGGTGCATACTTATATACATAAAGGAAATATCTATTGATAAGTCCAAAGCCTAATTATAAAAGTCACCGTAACTGTTTCTTTCATCTGTTGTATATTTTTAATGAAAGAAATCTGAATCAAAACAACTCTGTATTATCTAGTGCAATGCTGATGGTCATCCCATCATATCGATGCTCTCTTTTTCAATGGAATTTTTTAAAGAAAATTTGAAATATGTCTAGTAACATCTGGGATAGGATTTTTTCTAGTTTTTGATGAATAAAATATATTTCATTGCCTAGATGTGCAATCTTGTAGCATATTAATATTATTCTCTTTTGAAAATAATCTTCACAGCAACCTCGGGAGCAAGCTGTCAAATTTGAGGACTTTAGGAACTAATGTTTATTAAACGTTGCTTACAGAGATGAAATGTGACTCCAGGGGATATCTATTTTTTTATGTCATTTACTTATTTTTTTATGCTTTCTTTGAAACCAACAATAGTAATCATTCACAAGAAAAACATGAATTAACTTCATATTAAACCTCTCCCCAAAATACACTACAGCACAGATATTACTGGGATTTTCATACATTGTATTTCTCAACATATAGTGGACTGCCAAAACATTAATAGTGCAAATCTGTGTTTGACTACAAATGACTCCCTACAAGGCCTGTTTTGATTATTAATAGGATTAATGATTTGCCTGCTCAGTGCAGTTACTGTGGTTTGTAATAACAGTTAATAATGAAAAGACAGAGGCACATTTAAAAAATAGCACGTTTAATAATACAAATTAATTCTATCATACAAAGAATCAGAGAGAAAACATTGTGGAGACAATGCCTTCTCCCTTTTTCTTCATCATTAAGAAACTCTTCTCCTGCGAGTATATTCTGTTTTCATTTTCCAAACACAGAAAAATAAACTGGGTATGTATCATAATAGCCATGAGTTTTCTCAAACAAGAGACTCAAATTTTATCATGCTCCCCAAGTTGTTTTCTATCAGGAAACTGGGAAGTTACACTAGTGGTAGAATTGTTTGAGGGTTTGAGGCTAGCCCCTTCTCAAGAACCTCAAACTTGCTTTGAAGTATTGAATAATTTGCCTTCTTTCAGAGTTGCAATGGCTACATGCCTCTACAGAAAGAATACTGCACAGCCCAGTGTTTTTTCATAATGCTTTAAGTGCAGTGATTTTATGAGTGTAGAAGACAGCAGACAGAGCTGCTCGTCTGGGTAAAGAGGAAAGACATAATATGAAAGCATATCTCTATGCCCTTGTCCCATAGTCTCGGGAAGACTCTGAGGCATTTCCCCAGAAGCCATGGAGAGTAGTTTGAGATGTACTACTTTATAGGAAATAGAAGTTATACATGTGAAAAAAGTTCACCCATGTAAATATCACAGATTCATCTATCAGTCTTCTGATCAGCTTTGCTAATTTCACAAGCAATAAATATGTAAAATATGTCTGTATTCTAGTATGGAAGAATATATATATATATATATATATATATATATATAAAATACACATATTAATCTGTCCCCAGGCAAGGAGGAGATGAGCACTTATAGATGGGAGACCATTTCACTGTACCTTTATGAAAGACTTTTGGATACTGCCTGAGGGGTAATCATCATTGGTTAGACCATTTTTCACTCACCCGGTCATTGTAACATGCCATTTAAAAGACAGCTGGTTACAGATTCTAAAATTCGAATCGTTGCTGTGTTTCTGTACCACTAATGTTGCTTTATTAATAGTTATTTTTCACAGTAGCACTGTAATTATTATAATTATTTACCTTAGACCTACTTATTATGGCACATGCTTCCAGCAACCAAAGATTCCTAGAAATATCATCTTCAATATCAGAGTATTTAAGCTCCCTTACTATTTGTAATATAAAATTTCATCATAGTACCAAAAAACCCCAAAACATATATATTGTTATGTCTTTAGGAAAAGTCCATATTACAAATGGTAAATTTGGTGAAGGCCCCCTATCTTCTTTGGTAGAGAACCACAGTCTAAAACCCACCACTGTTGGGTATTTAGCAAAGACCAACTTACAGTTTTAAGAAAAAAAAAAATCTGGAACTTGCTGTCTTCCCAGACTAAATAGTAAAGCCAGTGATACCAATAAAATCTGATTGTATATGGGTCCCTTCTTTAATGCAGTTTCTCCCAGGAAAGAGTGTTATTCTAAAGTAATTTACCTTCACAGGGATTTCTAAGGTTTAAATGCAAGGAATTACAATTAGACTTTCTAGTTCATATACCAATTTACGTCCGCTCATGTTTTTTTTTTAAGGGCAATGCTAGGAAAATTCTTATTTTCAGTTTAATTTACATTGAGGAATTTTGCTGTATATTTCATAATCTTACCTAGAAATGAAAAGATGAAAAGCTTATAAATCACATGTCTAAGATCTACAGCTGAGTGTAATAGAGTTGAATAGGTCAGTTATAGTTGAAAAGATCAGAAGAACAAGAGCAAAGTCATAACTGCATAGTTCTGATAGTCATGGCAATGCTTTCACTACATGAAAGATTAGAATATCTCTGGCTGTAGCAATACTACTGGGTCCATAGAGCAAACTTATTTCACTTTTCCTCTTTTTCCAGTACTTGATGCCACACACACACAAAAAAAATGTATTTGAAAGTTTGTTTCCCTAAACATGCACTCTAAATATATAAGCTGAAAAATACTTCTGATTATGAAAAACATTCTTAAGAATTTATTAGAAATCTGTTTCTAATTCCTTCTTTAAAAAGAAAAGAAATTAAAAAAAGAAGAATTGATGAAGAATGCAGTAGACAAGTCATATATGTTGTATATATTTTAGACTTTATAAACTCAAAGTTGAAGGGAAATTCATTCAATCTGTTTTGCTATGAACATATATACAGTTTATTGCCAATTATAATTTGTGTCCATACAACTTTCATTGGTTAGAAGTTTTGAAGCATGGTTTGTAGACACCAGCGCAACTTAAGAAAAGAAAAACAAGCAGAAAAGCCTGGGTTTACTCAAGTCTTTGTCAGGCTGTTGTGATGCATGTAATGGGCCTAGTGTGGAATCAGCACACAATAAATTTTCCTATAGCCATAAAATAAAAGAGAGAGAGAGAGCATATGAGAGAGCAGACTACAAAAAAAAAAAGGAATTTCAAGAAAGCCAATTTTTGCAAATTTATTTGTAAATTGTTATTTCTCTTCATGTAATTTTTTAAAACCTAACTAGTTCTTTTTAAAATTAAAAAAAAATTTTAATGTAAAGTTCACCCTCCCAACAATTTCCAATATTGTCAACCACATGCACATTTTTGTGCAACGGATCCCTCTCCCCCGGAACCACTCCCCCAATCCTGCATGACTGAATCACACAGTGAACAATTCCCCACTTCCCCCTCCCCCAGACCGTTGCAACCACCATTCTACTTTCTGATTCTATGTGCTTGACTAATTTATCGAAAATAAGTGGAATTATGCAATATTTATCTTTTTGTGATGGCTAATTTCACTTAGCATTGTCCTCGAGGTTCATCCGTGTTGTAGGAGATGACAGGATTTTCTTCTTTTCTTGAGGCTGAATAATATTGCATTGTATTTATATACCATATTTTCTTTATCTATTCATTTGTCAATGGACATTTAGGTTACTTCCTTCTCTTGGCTATTGTGAACAATTCTCTTCACGTAATTTTAAATTCAGTTGGAAATTGCAAATTGCTCCATCTCCAATCTGTCTCACATTGTTACTTTGCTTTCCTTTTTTTAGTTTTTAGCAAAGTTATTGAAAATGTTCTTATGTACTGACTTAACGTTGACTATATTTTTCTTCTTGTTCAATGCAGACATGTAGATAACAATAAGATAGTCCTGTTCAAGGTGAAATAGCACAGTGATTTGATAAATAATGAAATGCTATTGTCATTGCAGGATGAATCTGCTCCAGCTGACAAACAGTGTAAACCAGAGGCGGCCCAGGGCACTTACTCAACCTCAGCTGTTTCAGGCTCCCAGGAGGTGTTGTACATCAACGGAAATGGGACCTACAGTTACCATAGTTACAGAGGGCTCGGAGGGGGACTGCTAAATCTGAACGATGCTTCTAGTAGTGGTGAGTCTTTATTACATATTATGTTTTTGTGTCCATTTGGAGTTATTAAATTCCCTAAAGCTGAGGAAAAAAAATTGAATGAAGTGTTATAAGCAGTAGTCAGTGCCAATCTGTGAAAAACAAGACCATTTAACACATAATGTCCATCTCCCTACAAGGACATCTCCCTATTCAGTTGCTGTTTCTAAAAGTAGCAGCTATTATGCAACTGAATGATTGCTGTTTTATATTCAAAAAATCTCAACTAGAGAATAGAACATTTTTTACCAAATAGTTATACATTCTTTCCTTGAAGTTGTAATATACTGTTCGTCAAAAATAATGACACCTTTTCTCAATGTTCGAAGAGGTTTTTAATTTGGAAAATTTGAGGCACCAGGAACTTTATTGACTTGATGAAATATACACAGTCATTATACCTAAGAAGATACAAATTGAAACAACACACAGAAACAATCCATGTATCTCCAGCCAACAGCTTGTCAGTGACAATGGCGTGTCCCACCAGCAGTGAGTGGTATGCTGGAACCAGCTTGTATGGGCTCATGCTTGGTAAATTTTTAGGAATTTCTTGAGCTTATATACCAGAATAAATTCCAAATGTGTAATATACAGCCATACATATATTAGGAATACAGTATATGGGTGAACTTTTTATAACTGGGTTGTAGGAAAAGCTTTCCTAAACTATACTTAAAATCCAGGGGAAAATAAGTTTAATTAGACACATGCACACACACAACTTTTGCATGACAAAAAAAAATAAAGTAAAAATTAAGTGATAAACTAAAAAGTTATTAGCTTCCTATACTACAAAGAGTTAGTAGGCCAATACATGAAGGTCTTCTAAAAAGAAAGAAATACTCAAAACTGAATATTTAAAAAATAAGGCTAGAAATATGAACACACAATTCTCATAGAAAGCACTGCAAATGTCCCCTAAATACAGCTACTCAAACCCACTCCTAATAAGAGAAATGCAGCTTCTGTCAGATTAACAAAAGTCTGAATATTTACAGAATATTCCTTTGACAATGCTATGGAGGAAATGAGTACTCTCATGCATTGCTTGCAGAAATACAGAAATTTAAAGTAAACTTGACAATATCTAGGAAAATTAAATATGCATTTACCATTTGACCTAGCAGTCTCTTTAGGAATCTCTTGTTAGCAGTTTATCTCAAAGATACACTGGCAAAAATACAAGAAGACATATGCAGAAGGCTATTTGTTACCGTGTTATTTATAAATGCACAAAAAAGGGTTACCAATAAAAATGTCCATCAAGAGATGGCTAGTTGATTCAATTATAGTGCATCCAAATAAGAGAATAACATGAAGCTATAAAAAGTAAGGTATCTTTATATACTCCAGATAGTGAAAAGTACTTATAGTATGCTAACATTCATTAAAGAAGGATATATATATATATTTTAAATTTACATAGAGACAGGAATGGGGGAGGAACAGTATGAAGAAAGGAATACAAGCCAGAATTCTCTGAGTATACTTGGTTTTCATACTTTGTTTTGTAAATTTAACTTTGAAACAATTTGAGTATTTACATAATTATTAAACAATCTGATTTTAAGAATCCCTAATATTGAAAGAAAAATTATGCAAATGGACGTTATCTGTTTAATGAGTGGTTGGCACAGCCCCATAGATAGGAACTTTTCTAAGTGATCTCGAAAGTCATAATTTGACACCACAGCATGAAAGCTTATGATAAAACCTTAAACTATTTTCAGTAATGATATTATTCTTTTGGAACTGTTGTCTGTGTATTATAGTTTAAAGCAAATTTGTAGTTATGTTTGTATCAGCGAAAGCTGGGATTTTCAGCAGAGGGCAAAGTAGATACAGGTGTAAAATCAATAAGTTTAAGCAAAAACTCCATAATCTTGTATTTGAATAGGTAGTATCATTGAGAGCTCAGTGTAGTTTTGTTTTAAAAGAAAAACATACTTCCTATCTATTTCCACTGAAAATGCCTGGAAACAAAGACCAATTTGAAAATTTGAATTAGGCTTGATGAGCTTCTAATATATTTGGGAGAAAATTGCATTATTAGTATCAAATGAGTATATACTCTAGAAAATTACTTACCTTTACAATACTAGAACCATGCTCCGAGTGTATTCAGGAGTGATTCTGCTGCAAGGCTGGGGCTCTTTGGTCCGCCTTAAAATTAAAGGTCCTGTAAGGACAGGATTACTGAGATTTAGTCTATATCAATTGCCCTCCAGCTCAAAAGACGGGTGCCTGAAGTGGAAGAGAAAAACAAAGCAACTTATTTCAGGAAAAAAAATTAAGTTTCAAGTGTATATTCAGTTTTTCCAAAGCCAGCTAGTGAGCCTTCTCAGCTGTTTTCAACTCTTATTTTTATTTGAACAGTAAATCAGCAAGAAAGAGCAAGTCCAAGACCAGAAAAAACATAAACGTAAACAAAAGCTAAGCCTTCTTTTAGCCCATAAAGCTGGAAATGCTAACACTTCTTTTTAAATATTTTATATAAGTAAGAATTGGTAGGTAGTTCAGAACTTAACCACCAAATCAAAAAATTGGGGGAAAAAAAGTTTTGTCACTAAAGATTTTATTGACATAAATTTTTTAGATTTGAAAAATTGTTCACTTAGGAAATTAAGTTATTGAACATTAATAACAATAACTACCACCTATTGTGTCATTATGGTGTTTCAGTGTAGTCTCCATTCAATCCTTATATAGTTCTATGAGATATATTCTGCAATTTGGGGGAAATTTTTTATAAAACTGAACTTGCCCCCACTTGAAAAAATCATGCCTAGCTACCGCTTTCTTTTTTTCTAACATGATTGAAACCTACTTTGTGAGGCTCAGAGGGTTGAGTGACTTGCCAAAAATCCCTCCTTAATAATAAAAGGAGGGGCCAGGATTTGGACACAAGCATTCTGACGTGAGAGGCCACATTGTAAACCAATGAGCTGACCATCTGTGTAATAGAATATAATGGAAGCGAGTACTGAAGTAAGTGATAGCCCCTGGTAAGCACTAATCTACGGTCTCCAGAAATTCTCCCATTCTGGACATTTCATATAAATGAATGAATCATTCAATATGTGGTCTTTTGTGTCTGGCTTCTTTCACTTAGATGATGTTTTCAAGGTTCATCTATCTTATAGCATGTATCAATGCTTCATTTTTTTTATTGCCAAATGATATTCCATTCTATGGATATGTCATACTTCGTTTAGCAATTCATCAATTGTTTAGCTCAACTGATGGGCACTTGGTTTTTTCCACTTTGGGGTTACTATGAATAATGCTGCTATAAACGTATATGTGTTATCAATTCTTTGGGGTATATACCTGAGAGTGGAATTGCTGGTTCATATATGTCGTAGCTCTATGTTTAACATTTTGAGGAAATAACAGACTGAACATGGGCTGTCTTTCAACCTTTTAAAATTTCTCTCAATAAGTCTTACAGTATTTACAGTATGAGTTTTACACTTCTTTTGTTAATTTTATTGCTAAATATTTCCCTTTGTGATGCTATTGTAGATGGAATGTTTTCCTTAAAACATTATTCTATATTTTTTCTATTTTTTGGAATAGTTTGTGAATTAGTGATATTCTTTATGTGTTTGGTAGAATTCAGGACTGATATTATCTGTGCCTGGGCTTTTCTGGGGGGTTTTTGATTCCTAAATCAATCTCTACTTACTTGTTAGAGGTCTACTTATATTGTCTCTTTCTTCTTGAGTCAGGTAGGTAGTTTGTGTATTTCCAGGCATTTGTCCATTCAGCTGAGTTATTTAATTTATTGATACAAGTGTTCATAATTCTCCTTCATAATCTTTTTTTATTTTTGTAAGGTCAGTAGTGATGCTCCTATTGTCATTTCTGATTCTAGTTATTTGAGTGTCCTCCCCTTTCTTTGGTGATTCTAGGTAAAGGTTTGTCAGTTTTCTTGATCTCTTCAAAGAGCAAGCATTTGGTTTCATTGATTTTCTTTATGGCTTTTCTATTCTCTATTTCGTTGGTTTCTACTCCCATATTTATTATATCCTTCATTTTGCTTACATTAAGTTTAGTTTTCTCTTATTTTCCAGTGTCTTAACCTGAAAAGTTAAGATATTTATTCCAAGTCTTTTTTTCTCTTTGTATACAGGCATTTACAGCTATAATTTTCCTTCTAAGCACTGCCTTATCTGCATTACATTTTTGGTATGTTATATTTTTGCTTTCATTCACCTGAAAGTATTTTCTAATTTCCTGTATCATTTCTTCTTTGGCCAATTGGTTATTTAGTAGTATGTTGTTTAATTGCCATGTATTTGTGAATTTCCCAAACTTCTTCTGTCAATGGCTTTGTATAATTTCAATCCTTTCATGTTTATTGAAGCTGGTTTAATGACCTGGATTATGGTCTATCCTGGAGAATGTCCCACGTGTACCTAAGAAGTATGTATATTCTGCCATTGGTAGTAGGGTATTTTGTAAATGGTATTAGGCCTATTTGGTTTACAGTGTTGTTCAAGTCTTCTGTATTCTTGTTGATCATCTGCCTAGTTTTTCATATTCATTGTTGTAAGAAGGGTAATGGGATCTCCAACTACTGTTGTTGAATTATTTATTTTTGCCTTTAATTCTGACGGCTCTGTTTCATTTATTTTGGCACTCTGTCATTAGGTACAGATATTGTTTATATTGTTATATCCTCTTGACAGAGGATTGATGCTTTTATCATTGTAAAATATCCCTATTTATATCTAGAAACTGTTTTAAAGTCTATTTTGCCTAATATTAATTATTTATGTAATATCAGGATCAGGAAAAGACAATGGTAACTTAGGTTATCATGTTGATACTAAAAGTGAAGAGAACTGGACAAAGCTTTGGACATGGAAATGACATGTAAAAGAGTATAGAACAGGGGCTTCCCTGGTGGCGCAGTGGTTGAGAGTCTGCCTGCCGTTGCAGGGGACGCGGGTGCGTGCCCCGGTCTGGGAAGA